AATATAAAACTGAACACCAAATTCCAATGCTCCTAAATCTGGCAAACTACCTAAATTAACAGAGAGAAACATTAGATATCTTATAAAAACTGTTAAAAAGGATAGACAACAATCCTTAGATAAAATTACAGAAAAATTCAATCAGATATCAATAGCTTCAGTGAGTTCTAGTACTATAAAGCGTACTTTATATAATAAAGGTTTTTATGATCATGCTGAAAAAAGAAAACCTTTGGTATCTAAAGTAAATCGTAAAAAAAGGTTAAAATGGTGTCATTCTAAGAAAAATTGGAAATCTGAGTAGAATACAATAATATGGAGTGATGAGTCTTGCTTTTTATTATTTCAAAATAATATTCATCACTAGGTCTGGTGTCATCCTCATGAAAATATGATATAAGTTATTTAATTCCCACAATAAAGTTAGGAAATCAAGGCAATATAATATGGTGATGTTTTACTAAAAATAAGATTAGGCCTTTAATTCAAGTTTCTGGTAGAATTATAGGTTCTGTATATATTGATATCTTAAATAATAATCTTTTACCCTTTATTGATGAGTTGGATACCAATTTAAAGTATATTTTTTAAGATGATAATGCTCCTATTCATCAGGCAAAAGCAGTTAAGGAATAGATAGAAAAAATGAAATAACAAATTATTATGGTCTGCATAGTCACCTGATCTTAATCCAATTGAGAATTTGTGAAATGTTTTAAAAAGAAAGGTTCGTAAATATAAGCCACATCCAAAAAATCTTAATGAATTAATGGTTATTTTGAAGAAAAAGTAATATGAAATTGAACCATAAATTTTAGAAAATTTAGTAGAAAGTATGCCAAGAAAAATTCAAACTGTAATAGATAGCAATAGTAATCTGACTAAATATTAATTTTATAAATAAAAAATTCATGTTTTTATGAATAAAATAAAAAAAATTTATCTAAATTCACTTATTAATTTTTTTTATAATTTAAAAATAAAAATTGGTCATAAATTTAAAAGTTGCGATAACTTTTTTTTGGTCTAATACTTTTGACCAGAGAGTATATCTTATACTATATTAATAAAAGGATTCCTTAATATACATCCTATGTGTTCAGTCTTTAATGTACATATAATATATATAATCCAGTATCACACCCTTCTGCATTTCATTTTTACTATATATAATGCATAACATCTATACTTATCAAAAATTTAATTTAAATTCAAATTGTATCTAGTTTTTTAATTTTAATATTATATTATTATAAAAATAAACCAATTTTTTATATTTAGATTATGATCTTTCAAAAATTCAGTTTATATTTTAAAATGAATAATTATTTAAAAAGTTATCAGGGTTTAAAAGTTGGATATATTACCAATAATTAGCCAATTTCATATTGACTTTATATGGGTATTTATAGGAGTATATTTGCAATTTGCTCAATAAAAATGCATGGAATTTCACGTAATTAAAAATCATGTAAAAATTTCTTTTAATTGCTAAGTTATATAATTTTGCAAGTCCAAAAAATTCATGCTCGTATATTTTCTAATAGTTAAATTATACTTTTTTATGATCAATGAATGTTAGTATGATATATTTAATTATAAGTAAATATAAGTAAATTATATTTTTTATGGTCAATCAATATTAGTTTAATATATTTAATTAATAAACTATAGTAAAATATTAGTGATAAAGAAATTCATAAATACAAAATTTCCTTTCTATAAAATAGACTTCTCCAAAAATTCTCTTCCTAAATCTATAGAATTTTTATTTATGTTAATAAAAATAGTTAAAATGCGTGATCGTAATTTTATTCATATTTCACATTATATTTAAAAATGTGATAGTAATCACGTTTTAAATCATTATATTAATAAAATTAATTACGCGTTTTACATTAAACAATTATTTTGAATACATTATAATTTATTTTTTATTGTATTAAAAATGCCATCTCTTTCTAAGCAAAAAAGAAAATCAAAAATTAAAAATGCACTGTAGATAATAAATTTGATATTAAAAATATACAATATCTAAGTATAGATAATCAAAATCAACCTGAATCCTTAATTCTAATTAACAATAATTATAAAAAAAATATTACAGTTACTATATTTCATAATAATAGTAATTCATTTGGTCCTTTTTATAATAGTAATTCGTTTGGTGTCTCTGGTGATGATGGTTCATTTTGTTTTTATAGTGATAATAGTTTGTTTAGTTCTATAGTAATAATAGTTTGTGTAATCCTTATGATGATGGTAGTTCGTTTAATACTTTTAGTGATAGTGATTCATTTAGTCCTTATAGTAATAATAGTTTATATAGTTCTTATAGTAATGGTGGTTTGTTTAATACTTCTAGTAATAGTAGTTCATTTGGTCCTTATAGTAATAATGATTTTTATGAATCTTATGATGATGGTAATTTATTTGGTGCTTTTGATAATGGTAAAATTGTGAATGAAAGTAATATTTAGTATAAATTTAGAATTTTTTGATAAGAAAGAATTTGGTGAAGAAAAATGGAACAATGACAAAGATAGTAGTTGGGATGATGATAATGATGATGATGATAATGATGTTACTGAAGAAATATAAAATCTAAAAAATAAAAAACTTAAATTAGTGTAAAAGAAAGAAAATGAATTAGAAAAAATAAAATGTAGTCAATATATGATAGGAAAAACTTTAAGATCAAGTTATTATAAAAAATATAGACCAATCAGTTCATTTACCAAGATAGCTGTTAATACTAAACAAATTACAAGTTTTTTAAAATTAGTAATCAAGCTACAATTATACAACCTGATAAAATCTCAAGTAATTCAGAAAATAAAATCATCAATAAAGATACTTATCAAATTGATAAAAAAATACGAAATCTAAAAGAATAATTAGAAAAGTAACATAATAAAATAACTATTACTAAATATAATAAAAAAGAGCTATCTATAAATATATTATTTGCTTAAATAATGGAAAAATGAATGTTAGTTTAGAGGTAACTAAAATCATTTTTATTGATGATGATCTATGAAAGTATGATATATTTGATATAATACAAATTACTAGTTATATAATAATAAACTTTTGCCATCTAAATATAGAAGCATCAAAAACTATTAAATTAATTGATAATAAAAATATAGCTTAAAAATATTAAATTTAAGTTTATAAGCAAAATTTTAAGGCTATATCAGCTACATTTAAAGAATTTGTTGAACAGAAGCTATTGCCTGATATTGAAATTACAAAAAAAAATCTATTTCTTTAATGATTACAACAAGATGGTTTAATATTCTTGGTATTTCATTTCAATAATATTATCAAGATATATATTATGACAGACATGAATAAAATGATGTTTTATAATATTACAAAGTATTTTTAGAAAAAATGTTTGAACATGAGAAATATATATTTAAGTATAAAGGTAAAACAATAAATCATATATATCTGAATTTATCTGAAGGAGAAAAAGAAAGAAATTTTGTAACTTATGTTGAGTGTATTTTTATTCTAATAATTGTAAACGTGAAATTTAAGCCAAAAATAAAAAATTGCCACTATAAAAAAAAGAGAATAGAAGATCTATAATAGTCAATGAGTTTCTTACTAAAATTAATAGATATTTGCATTTACAATAAGCAGATATATTATAAAATCCAAATATACCTAAAGAAGTATGATGTTATTTGAAATATGGTAAAAATCAAGAAGGTTATTGGACAGCTGATCATCTTTTTGAATAAATCAAATATAAAGCTATTTCTATTTTTGAAATATTATATCCAAATTATATAGCAGTATTTGTTTCAATAATAGTTCTAATCATACTGCATTTGAAAAAAATGTTTTAATTGTAAGCTAAATGAATTTAAATCCTGATAACAAGTAACTAATTATATATGATATTTATTTTAAATCAAATCAATAGTAGTTACTGGTCATTTTTAAAATCAAGGGTCAAATGGATTTATTAATTAAATATGCAGCTTGTTAATCACTTTTTTTTACTATGATTAATTAATAAAAACTAAAATTTCCAGTTTTTTCATCATATATAATCCTTAATTTTTCACTAATAAATTTTATCAAATTTTTTCTTAATCTTTAGGATAAGACGAACGTTCTGAAATAAATTTTTTCTGATCTTTATTAGAAGGATCTTTCTGTAAAGTTAGTTACTTTTTTTATTAAAATATTATAACTTTTCAAGTAAATGGGAAATTATGCAAACTGCATAATAAGTTGGTCTTAAGAAATATATTTTTATTCAAGATTTTTAAATAAAATAAAATAAAATAAAATAATATAATATTAATTTTTAAAGGTTGATAAATATTTTGTAAGTAAATATTAAAGTAAGAAAGAATAAAAAAGTGATAAAATTATTGAACATATAAAATATTATTTAATATGTAAACTAAAATTCTATCTTTAATAAATAAAATTATTTGTATTTTTTATGTAAATTATATAAAAAAAGATTACAATATTTTGGTAAACTATCTTAATATTTCTTTAAATTTAATATTTATAATAAAGAAAAATCACCTTTTTTGCCTTTTCTTAATAATGTACATATAAACTTCAAAATAAATTTAATAATAATATATCTATATAAAGTTGTGGGTGAAACTAAAACCTAATTTCTGGCAAAGCTTTTGAAACTTGGCGAAACTAGTTTTGTTATTCATGCAAAATTCTAAAACCTTCAAAATTTTCAATACCTACAAAACTTCTGAAATTTAACGAAACTTTTGAAATTACTAAACTTGACGAAATCTTCTAATAAAATTGACAAATATTCAAAACTTAACAAATTTTTAAACGAAATCTAGCAAAACTAAATAATATACTTTAATCAATTAAAGTAAATTGTAATATTTATGTAAAAATTTATTTATAAAATGAAAATTTTAATAAACATCAATTATTTAACCTATGCGTCTATAAAGTTATTACAAATAAGCTTCAACTGCTAAATTAGGATTTTAATCCTCATCAATTTCCTTCTGAACTATTTTACTATTATCTGATTTCTCTTTTAAGTCAATATCTAAATCTCCAATAAATTCATCAAGATCTTTTAAAAATTCTGATGCGTCAAGATCTATAATATTATCTAAATAAATGTTATTCTTATTAATACTTACATTCTTTTCTAATATATCTAATACATCTGTATTATTTGTTTCATCATTTGAATCTTCAAATTCTTCATCTTTATATAAATTAGCATTATTTAAAATAGATTGTAATTCTTCACTTTTTTTTTCAGTACCATAATGTAGTAATTTTTTTTTTGCATTTGCAAGATAAAATAATGCTAATTTTTACATTCTTTCAATTTTTTTTAAACTAAGTCTAGTTCTACGCTTTCTATAAAACCAACCAAGAGATGACCATATTCTTTCACAAGAAGCTGCATGAGGAATAATTGAAAAAAGCTTAATAGCAAGATGTATAATATAATTTGACCTTTTAGCAAAGAATCATCTATACAATATCACCATATCATAGGAGAATTATCAAATTCATATTGTAAATCAAATGGTGAATTCCACTTTTTATATACAGCTAGTTATAACATTAATTCTTCAAGCTCTTTGTTTGATTTTACCATTCTTTTATAAAATTTGTCAGCTGCTAAAAGAATCTGACAAAATATATCTTTTACCTATATTTAATCTAAATAAAATACAAAATTATTTATATTTTATTAAAATAAAAATTATTTGAATTATTTTTTTTAAAAAAAAATATTTTTACCATTAATATCTGGATGTAAAAAAAAGCATAATAAATATGCATCATCATCAAATTTAATAAATCTTTGATTAAAAATTGCAATAGAATCTTATCAAAATTCTCAATGATCATTTTTGGTAACTTTTTAATAGCTGCTCCTAATCGTGTTAATCCTAAATAATAGTCTGCTAAAGTATTTGTTTGTGATTCTAAAGTAGCAATGCTTTTTTTAAGCAGATACAAAGCAAAAGCTAATACATGACAATTATCAAAAAAAGCATGACTTTGTAAAATACTTAATGCTATAATAGAAAATATTTCTGCATAATCTAAATGCATCTAAATTATTATAATATTATTAATTTAATAAAAAGCATTTAATTTTAATAATATATTATTATTAATATTTACAGTTTCTAAAGGAATCTGATAGCGTATTACAGATTCTACATAATCATACATTATATGTCATCTTATATCAACTTATTTTATAATTCTTCACCTTTAACTTTTAATTTCATAGAAAAATCTTTAAGTGTTTGTCCTAATAAATATATATTATATGAGAAATATTTATAGTTATTAATTATTATTATATAATTATAAAATATTTACCTAAAAGATGATTTGTTTTAAAATATTTAACTAATACCATACATTGACTTGAAATTTTATTAGCAAATAGTATTTTACATATATCTTTAGATATAAGATTAATTGCATAAGCAATACATCTTATATTTAACATATGTGAAAATTTCTCAGTAATATGATGATGAGCAAGCTTAATATTAGCACCAGCATCACTTACAATTGCAAAAAATTTATTTACTCCAATTTTATCAATTATTTCTTCAATTTGTTCAGCTAAAAAATCCACAATATGATGTTGATGAAATAAAATTTTAAGACTTCAAAGATATTCTCAATGATCTAGAGTATGTATTACAAAATTCCAAATTGATTCTTTTGCAAGATTTGACCATCTATTATATGCTAATTATAATATAGAAAATTTAATAAATATTATAATTTATAAGAATATCACATATAAATAATTTATATACAAAATAACTTACATAAAGTTAAATTTTTTTGATTTGTTAAATCTTTAATTACTTATTGATTAGCTACAGCTGCTGCTTCTTATGCTAATAGCCTTCCAGATAAAATTTCTTTACTAGGCAGTAAATACAATGATTTTAATATTTTTAAAAATTCAATAAAGAAAGAATTCTCTATAATATGCCATAAAATTTTACAGATAATAAATGCTTTAACTAAAGCATGATTTATTTGATCCTCTGTACTTTCAAATTCAGTAATTCTTCTTTATTTAATCCTATCATTTCTTTTTTTTTATTTGTTTCAGTTAAATCTTGACTAATGGTTTTAGCTGCTAATAGTTGTAAAAAAATATCTCTAACTGAAGGTTTAGCTTTTTGACACTTAAAAGCTAAATGTACTTCAATTTCTTGAGGTGAACCTTTAAGCCAAACAATATGACATAAAAGATATTCTGCAGACCAATGTGAAGGACCAATCTTATTAAGTTTCTTTGTGTATATGTTTCAGCCAAACCAACCCAGCTTACCTCCTTTATTTTTTGGTTTAGGTGGTATTTTATTATCTAGTATATCTATAGGTATGAAATCTTATTTTTTGTAAGAAGTTTCAACTGGTATTTCTTCAATAGAAAACATTTTAAAAAAGTAAATTACAAAAATTTTTATTTCTCTTTTTTTTTAAAAAAGGAAAAAATACGAAAAAGGTCTCCTTTTATTATATTCCTTTTTTACGTACTTCATTTTCTCACAATTTTTACTATATCTCTCAATTGCACACAATAATAAGCATTAAGTTTAAAATAATTACAGTTAAAATAACTTTAATATTCAGAAAAAAAATTAAATCAGCATCATTTTGATTGGCTAACTAGGTTATATCACATAATCTGAGAAGTTTTAAAAGGTTTTATAAGTATCATTTAGTTTTGCCAATATCATCTAATTTTGCCAATTTTGTCTTAGTTTCAGAATTTTAAAAAGTTTCAGATTTTAGGTCTTGAAAGCTGAAATGTTTCAACCTTAAGATTTTGGTTTCACTCACAACTTTATATCTATATTAATGGTTAACTTCTTATGTAAATGTATTTAAAAAAGAATCAGTAAAGGTAAAAGGATCTCAGTTTAAAGTTCAAAAAATTATAGAAAAGCCTTAGAGAATTTATATATATGACGTAATTATAGGTTAATATAGAACTAGACCACTCTAGTGAGATTATGATATCACATGATCATAAATTTTGGCTAATAATTATCACGAGTATTGCACGTAATTAGGATTAATAGTGATCATACTGAAAAGATATGTAAAAATATATACAAGTGAAATGAAATCAACTTTCAGGGTCATTTTATTTTATTAATACAGTATAAACAAAGTTATTTAGCATTTATACTAAGTATCTTGAATTTGTCACATATAATCTAGTATATTTTTTCATGAGAACGTTAATTGAAAAGTTAATCATCATTGTGGTACTGATTAATGCATCTTTTGCCTAGTATACATTTTGACATTCGTTTAGCTAGAGATTTTTCGACTTTCCTATACCTAAAAATTTTAATATCAAATTATTTAATAAAATAAGTGTATGACTTACCTTGATTTTTTTACTTTATTGCTATCACTGAGCATTCATCATCTTTTATTTCTAAAATGATTTAATAAAATAATAAATTTGAGTGATACAGTAGCGGTCATAAGTATCTGACCCCTCATAATTCTTAAAGTTAATTAATAATACCCATTAAAATTTTCCAAAATTTAAGTACAATACCAATGTTGATCACATGTAAAATTATAAGCTTGTACAACATAT